GTTATGTGAGGCCCACCAGAAGAACCTCTCTGTTCCTGAGCGAACCTGTCCCTCGGGCAGCAGGACAGCTGCTTGCTCTACAGCAAAGGGGGCAGAACAAACTAGGGAATGGACACTTCTGAAGGCCTCAGCATAAGAGATAGTGTCGCTAACACTTGGGAAGACTGTTAAAGCCAGAAAGCCTTGAAATTTCCAGTGACAAGAGAAGGAGGCAGCCAGGGCCTGTACCCATGTGCAGTGCCTGCACAACAAGGGGACACCTGCACCCCATCTCCCTTCTGTAGATTGCATCTCCTCTCTCCATGGCCTGTGGCAGGAATGTGTGAAGGGTTGCAGTTCTGGGTTTCATGTGTAATGAACAGAGCTTGAGCGGTGGCAGATCCTCACGAGGGCTGGATGGAGGCAGCCATGAGGATGGAAAGGCAGCCTGCTGGGGTAGTGTAGCTCTTCTCCAGCACATGGCCCACAATGTTTACCCTACATCCAGCAATGCTAATAAGGAAGAAGTTACTGCTCCCTCAGCATATCACATTACCCCCCTGTTTCAACTATCCATCATTTCTGACTTGTATCAGCTCTGCCTCCTTTCCTCCAGCAGATTTATACATATGGACCATGAGGTCCGCTCCTTCATGTGAGAACCCCAAGAAAGTGTGCAGAATGGGAACATCATATGTAGAAACAACTTCCAAGGGGAAGGTCCCCCACAGTCGGTTCAGGAGACAGCACCTGCTGAGACTCTGCTGGGAAAAACCTGTGACAGCAAAAGTCGGAGAGAGGTGGCCTTTCTCCTTTGTCACCTGAGAGAGGTGTATGTGTGACTGACTATTGACAACAAAAGCAGGCACTGACTTTGAGAGGGTGCTGCAGGCTGGAGACATCCAGCTTCACTATTCAGAAACGCCACCATCAAGATGAGACTGGTGCAGAACAGCAGTGAAGCTCAAGGAGATACATACTGGACATCCACAAACCAGAAGCCACTTTTAAAACTCCTCTTCGGGCTGTCTTAGAAACTGGAAATAATAATAATGTTGTCTTTCCTCATCAAAGTCTGACTGGGCTGTATCAGCAGTAAAGTATGTGCAGACCTTCCATGCGAGTCAATATTAAACAAGACTGTTTGCTTATTATATTGCTATGTTAACTCTGTAACTGGTTATGTCACCACAAATCATGTGGCAGTCTTAGGGTTATTTTTCTTCCTCCTGAGAGGCAACGTGAAGTTTTTTTCCCTTTAGAACTGATTTTCTCTTCTAAATCTGACTACCCAAACAGTCATTCTGTATCCTGCAGTTTCCTTAGTCCTACAAACCAGTCTTTGGAAGGGCAGATCCAGTATTGCAAGAAAGCTTCCCCTGCCCCTTATAGGAAAAACGCTTGCCTGTGCAGCAAAAGCATCATTCCTTCTGCTGGTACTGAGCAGAGACCTCTTCTTGTGGTTAGTGGTGACATCCACAGAGGTGTCTGGGTATTTCATTTGAGGAAGAACAGACTCTATGAGGTGAAGGACAGCCCAGCTTCTACAAGAAGGTCTGACATCTTGAACTGTGTTAGGTAAACTTCGTTAAAAACTGTAGAGTCCTTAGAAATTTCTTCTCCCCTTCAACTGAAGACTTTTCCCTAATATTGTCTTTCAACAACAAGTCCAAGAGCATGAAGTAATATCATCCCTGAAGGCCAGCTGGTTTGGTGGTACATGCCAAAGGAACTCTGTTTTCAACAGAGCTGAAGAAATAGGCCTCCAGCAGTACAGATCGATTGCCCCACACAAGTGACCTGAGGCTCAAAGTAAGTTTATTGCACCTGCAGTTTTGGACAGACGGTAATCTGCATAGCTGAGTTTGATGAGATGATATCCAACAGCCTCATGTGCTGCCTCCCGTCACCAGTGAGAAGTGGAGCTCAAACAGGTAACATGCAAAATGCACGTGAAGGGGTGGGATCAGGGAATTCATTTTGTTTCCCTAAACAGTAATAAAAAATGCCCTCCTGATCTCAGTGCATTTGACATAACATAGTAAGAACGTGATTAGCACTTAATACTGTTTAATAAATATGCCCATTAACTTAGGCAACAGTAACCAGTGCTGGCACAGATAAATAACAAACTTGACCAGTCAGTGGTGTGAAACAATCACAAGGAAGCAATACATTAATTCTGCTTCCCACTTTAAGGCTGAATTTGGACATCCCTCCCTAATACCCTGCAGAAGTCTTCTTCAAACACTGCAAATATATTTGGCTATGAAAGGAGTCTCTATTTCTTTATTTCGTATTTGTTGCTAAATGGGGGGCAAAACCCCTCATCTGTTATTTGGGGGGGCTGTGAGAATGGGAAGAATAGAATTAATTTGTGATCTGAAACTTTATAATGTGTTTTTTTGATCAGGTTTATAATTCATCAAGGCTTTGAAAGAAAAAGATTAAATGTCAGTTTTCAAATCCAAGTCATAGAGTAGACACTTTCAGTACTTGGAGGAAGTTCCCAGGCTTAGGGACCCAAGGAATCCTGTAAAGCACCTATAGAGGCTCCTCACAACTCCCTCTTGGTCCCCACTAAAGAACAGGGCTTGCCAAGCACCTGTCAGGGTTGGAGCTTGCTCTAACAGGGCATGTTGCTCAGCCAGGCCCCCCACACTGTTTCAAAGCCTGTGTTGTTCTTTGCACTTCCACGGGATTGGTATCCACAGAGCCATTGATCACAGCACAACTGCCCTCCAGCATTCTCCTTCCTCAGACTTACATTCCTAAGGTTAGACACTGGCCAACAACAGCTCACATACACAGCAACCCCAAGCACAAATACAGGCTGGGTGGAGAATGGATAGAGAGAAACCCTGAGGAGAAGGACTTGGGGGTGTTGGTGGGCAAGAAGGTTGACATGACCCATCGACGTGCACTTGCAACAGAGAAAGCCAAACATGTCCTGGGCTGCATCAAAAGAGCGTAGCCAGGAGGCCAAAGGAGGTAATTCTGCTCCTCTACTCCACTCTGGTGAGACCCCACATGGAGTACTGCATCCAGATCTGGGGTCCCAACATAAGAAGGAGGTGGAATGTTGGATCAAGTCCAGGGGAGGACAGTGAAGATGATCAGAGGTCTGGAGCAGCTCTCCTATGAAGACAGGCTAAGATACTTGGGGCTGCTCAGTCTGGAGGAGAGAGGGCTATGGGGAGACCTTATATCACCTTTCAATACCTAAAAGGGGCTGACAAGAGGGATGGAGAGGGATATTTTTACAAGAATGTAGAGACAGGATGAGGGGGAATGGCTTTAAACTGAAAGAGGGCAGGTTTAGATCAGATATGAGGAAGAAATTCTTTACTGTGAGGGTGGTGAGGTTACCCAGAGAAGTTGTGGATGTCCCATCCCTGAAAGTGATGAAGACCGGATTGGATGGGGCTTGGAGCAACCTGATCTAGTGGAAGGTGTTCCTGCCTGTGGCAGGGGGGTTGGAACTGATGATCTTTAAGGTCCTTTCTAACCCAAACCATTCTATGATTCAATGATTCTGTATGATTTGGCATTATTACTTGAGTAAATTAATAATTACTGCAGGGACTTTCCAAAGGCAGAAGAATAAGCTGTGCAGCTCCTCCCAAGCCCCTCTGAGGTAGTGCAGGGAGCAACTGGGTGAGTGGTGCTCATGAGATTTACTCAGTTCTGTTTCATTTGCCCTGTATCAAAGGCACCCAGTATATACTGTATCCTGAAAACTTGCTTGGCAAAGAGTGCCAGCAGCTGCACTAGGGCAGGACTCAGCAGAAGGAAGCCCATTAAATGACTTGCTGATGACCTTTGATTTGAGTACCAATATTTAGAAAGCAAATGTTTAAACCCATGCCATTAAGAATGGAAGCACAGCTTTGCCATGGGCAACTCAGGCAAGGGGTGCTGCTGAGGCAGTCCTGGGCAGTGCAGGGGAAGAAGGCAAACAGCCCTCTTCCCCTCCCCTTCCTCTCCCAGCAGAGCAGCCCACCCTGCCCATCATGCCCACACCAGGGAAGGGGCAAATATTTAGACCCCAACAAGGCAGGTGGCTGCTGCACCAAGAAGGGTGGGAGTTTTAGAGCTGTTTCAAGCCCAAAGGCAAAATAACTTTGGACATCCCTCCTGCCCACATTGCCTGAGACTCTGTACAAGTGGAGACTGTGCAACAAGAAGAACACCTTCCAATCCAGCTGCCTGCTGTGACCAGAACTCAGCTGGCCCTGTGGGACTGGCCCCAGCTGCTGGTGTTCTACCTGGCTGGTACCCTTATACTGATGGGACTTCATGAAATCAATTGATGTTGGTCAGGTGCAGCAATAGGCCAAGAGAGTATTTTTCCCTCAGAGTGGTGCAGAATTAGCTCTGCTGGTCAGTTTATAATTGGGTACTTGCACTTAACAGTATTCTTTCTGTTGGATTTTTATAGTTTTGTCTCTTCTTTTTTAAACACGAAAAATAATCAGTCTTAAAATAAAATAATTTTGAAAAAAATACCCTGGAAAGTGATCTATAAAAAGAGAAAATCCTTGCCAGGGGGATGCCACAGCAGCGAGCCCAAGCCACAGAAAGCCCAGTTGAAGGCTTCCCTTTTCCGCAGCTACTCAGAGGTTAACCAGGGTCTGTAAGCAAACAGCTTAAAGAAGGAGCCCGGCTTAGTGCCTGGTGTCTTGGGCTGTCCCAGAGACTACCACCCTAATGCCCTTCCAGCAGCCCCTCCCTCCCAAAGGTGATGCTGGGCAAACAGAGCCAGCCCTCGCCCTCTCCCCACGCAGCAAGGAGCCTTCTGCGGGGACGGACTGGACCCGAGCTGGGGCTCAGGGACATCGCAGAAGAGGGTGTTTCTCTTCAGACGGGCGCAGAGCCATGTATATATAAACCCTGGAGCAGCAACCCGGGAAGATTGTTTAGCACAACCACACCTCGGCTCACTTGGCAGCACGGCGAGGCGCTGCCGGGAGTGCCGGCGGCTGAACCCCGAAGTACACGAGCGTGGAAGCGATCTGCCCATGGGCTCCCGCTGGCTGCTCATACTGATGCTGCTTCAGGCAGGTGAGTACCACCTCTCGGTCCCTCTGCCTTGCCATGCCTCCCCACTGTCTGGGGACAGCCTTTCCCCTTGCCGTCAGCTTTGCCTTTTTCACAGCAGGCACCTCGGTGTGATTTGGCCAAGTGAGAAAAAAAAAGTGTCACTGGACAATTTTCAACTCTACAGTGAGGGGCTGTGTAAGTGACCTGCCTGCCCACTTCACTTCCCAGCCCCAGCTATGGTTTGCATAGCTGGGGCTGTATGACACAGGCCATTTTCTTTTTTAATAGTTTTCTGCTACAGAGTTTTTAGTGTCCGTGTTTCATAAAAATACCTTCTTTTTATACCAGTAACTATGGAGTAAGCAGTTTTCAATTCGTCTGAACTTAAAATAATTTTTAAGAAGTCTGTTTATAAAAGCCAAAAATGACATAAAGCCCCTACACACGGAGACAACAGTAAACTGGCAGGTCTGAGGTTATACCTGCAGTAGAGTTTCAAAATAAAAAGCAAAACTCTGCTTTAATCTAAAGGCTGCCAGTGTAAGAAGGACATAGAAAGTGTAAGTTGTCAGATCCACCTTTGCTCACCTCTCTGCAGGTATGTTCCTAGCCAAGGTGCTCCATTGCTCCATTAGTAGTATAACTAATGATTGGACATGCTCCTAGTGGGAGATGTGGCTAGATGCAGGCTACTGTGGAGATGCAGACTTTTTCAAGGCTTTCCTAGCTGTGTTGGCTTGGCTGCCCAGCATATAAAAAGCAGTTTCAGTTCTTGGTCAAGTTATTAGCTGTGCACCTGAATATTAAAATGTACTTTCTGGGGCTGACCTCTCAGCTGCAGCAACCCGCTGCTGGCTCAAAATCCAGGCAGCTTTCAAAGAACAGGAACATCAGAGGCTGCCTGGATGCCTCTTGCAGAACATGTAGCCCTAAGCACACTAATTGAGTCTTTTGGACTCAATTTCCTTTGGGGCTTTCACTCTACTTCATGAGCCGGTCTGCACTGTAATTACAGTTCCTTGATCCTCAGAGATATCCCCAAAAGAAGAATGGCCTTTCTTCTGGGTGAGGTACAGTTACCTTACATCATTTTCAGCCAGTGGCCAACAGACCAAGTCCAGCAGTCCTGGCTTAAAAGGCCAGTGAAAGATAGCCATAAAAAATTCAATCTGCTCGTCAGGAAGCCAGAGTGCCTACAAAGAAGTTTTTGTCTCCATTGGAACATTTTCAGGGTCTGCAAACTGCAACAGGTTAAAAAAGCATGATTTAGTTCCCCGAATCCAAAGCAGCTTACTGCTTGTGATTTCCCCTGAGGTGCCTGAGAGCTTGAGCCCCCTTCTAACTCTGAAGCCCTGCTGTTTAGACAAGGAAAATAAGTGGTCTTTTTAGTTTTGAATAACACCCATATAATGTGTTTTTAGTACGCAACCTGAACACTCAAGTAGTGTTTAGGTGAGCAGCGCTGTTACTTTTTCAGGAATGTGCATTTAATCCCCGAGGAATGCCCCAGGAAGCAGAGGGAGGCTCTGCTGAAACCCCATGCCGTGCCGGGGACAGCCCGAGGTGCGATCGCCGGGGTGAAAATGGTGGAGGACAGTGCCAGTTCCTGCTGGGGGCTTGGGCTGTGGAGAGGGAACAAAGCCCTGCTTTGTCCTTCATGAGGAGAGACCCTCGTTGTCCTCACTGGCACTTGGATTGGGCTTGGAGGGCGAGCTAGCCCAGAAGATGCCGGGAGAGGCCCAAGCAAGGGGATTAGAGGCTAGGTTTTAAAAGGAAAGCAACTGTTTTAATAATAGTATTGAGTCCTTGGGTGGTTTAGGGGATTAATTAGTCCATGTTTGCACAACACTTTGAAGAGGTCAAGCGTGCTGCAATAACCAGGGGCAGGTGGCAAAGCAACTTCAGTGTCAAGTTCCCAGCTCCCAGGCATCACTTCCCTCTCCATCCAAGCGTGCCACGAAGTCCCCTTGTTTCTTTTTGGAGTGGTTGTGCATGGGTAGGACGAGCACATGGGTTAGGCTGTTGGTCTGAGGGGTTTGATGCTACTGGTGAGTAGCTTTGCAATTCAGGACAGAGTAGAGCAAAGCACTTGGTCCTTCACAGTAAGCCCAGGCATAAACTACTCTTATTTGTCACTATTGTTAGCATGATAAGCATCAGCATTTGCAGCTGAGCATCACAGTGGTTTGAGTATTAGGGGCAGGGTACTCTTGGTTTCCATAACAGTACTGCAGAGTCTGTGGTTTCCAAAAAAGTTGCAAATTAACATGTGAAATCACAACACCAAAAGTTGTAACTCAGAAACGTCCAGACTGGCTTGGGTGGTAATTCAGACACTTCAGCTGACATAGAGTTCCTTTTTTTTTTTTCCCCCCAAATTAATGTGGCCAACCTGTTATGACTTGATTGGAACTTAATAACGGAAGTGGATGCAAGTGTTGCCAGCACTTCCAAAGTCTCAAAAGAAAGGTGATATATGCATAGCTCTTGGCTAATGTAAGCACTCTGTGTATGTATCTATCGTACATACTCTTCTACGATATGTATGTACTGTACAGGCTCAGGGACTTGTAGCTATCCCTTAATGCAAACTAATAGTACTGTCAGCTTTTTGCCACCTGGAGAATGGGTTAAAACATCCTGGATAGCAGATAACATAAGAAATTTTGGGCAACAAAGAAACCTCATTTTTTTCCAGAGAGCCCAGGTTAGGTCTGGTTGCGTGGTTGTACTCTGCTGCTTCATGTCCCACTTGGGACCACAGCATAGCTGGAAAACTTTCCCAGGTTTGGAAGCTCTGGAGTGCAGTGAAGCCTAGCTGGCTCTGCATGGTGCCAGCACAGGCCCTGCAAAGCTTAGCAGCTTGAGCTTTGTGATGTGCAAAACCAGGCATGCTGCTCCTGGGTGCAATAGAGCTGCAATCACAGACTAATCAACTGGAAATAGTAAATCTTGCTTGAATTGAGCTCCCTTAGAAGAAGTACCCTGCTTGGGTATTTCTGCATCCACCTCTTGGTCATCCCAGACCTCAGGCAAAGCCTCCTGCAGTCCCCCTTACCAGCTGAATGTCATGGCTAGTTAGATTGTTAGGGCTGCAACCAACTAACAAGTCAAAACCAAAACCATTTCCCTTTAAGGACTGTAGGAAAATCAGTGGCAGGTGAGTTTAATTCCTCTGTGTAGCCATGTCCTGTCTTTGCAGTTTGGGAAGGTGCTCTGGGAAAATCTCATTCACTGCACACTCGAGGAATCATCGAATTGGCTGGAGCTATATCATGTGGCACGGGACGGTCTCCCTTGGCATATATTGGCTATGGATGCTACTGTGGACTGGGAGGACGAGGCTGGCCTAAAGATAAAACAGACTGGTAAGAAAAACATCATCTATGTGTCCAGAAGCACATAGATGGTGGCCTCCCCACCCTTCCCTGTTTGTACTACTGTGACTCCACAGACTCATTTCCTGCCTTGTGGAGAGGGAACTTAGTATATATGAACAGTACTGGGGGTTTGTGGGTAAGGACCCACATATCACTTGGGATTTGAATGAGGGTTTAGCCTCTTTTTGGATGAGACCAAAGCTCTTGGGACCTTGTGCTATGTGGGGTAGAAGGCAAAGGGGAAACCAGGATATAATTTCCTGAAATAGCTGAATATGTATTCATAGAGAGCAAACTCTGTCTGACAAAAAGAGAGTGATCCAAGGTATTTGGAGGGTTATTTAGTCCAGGTCCTTAAAATGTCAGCAATGGGAATATCACTGTTTATTCTCTTGAAGAAATCCAGATTGTTGCAAGGAGGAATCAATCAAACCTGTTGCCTTCATTGCCTGTTAGTTCACACTGAATCAGGGAAAAACAACAAGGGGGAGCATGGTGTTATTTCCCCCTTTTCTTCATTAGTGGAGGGAGATGATGTGCTTGTTATTCCCAAGACTACAAGCAATGTGTCTAGGAAATGTTGTAATCAGGTTTCTTTCGTGTACTTTGTGATTAGCATACATGTAAAGCTTGAGCACAGGTGTTCTCTGCAATCTCATCCAGTTTGAAATACCAAAGGCAGAGCACACAAGTCTGTCTTTGCCTAGTCAACACACCAGGCCTTACTGATAAGCAAGCCCTGCTTTTAGCATTGGTGAAGGCAGTCTGCAGCTCACTGGAAAGGAAACTGAGCTTTCCAGAATACCCTGCTGCTGGAGACATTTCACATTGCTACAAAATTTTGCTGAATTGCCAGGTAAGAAAAAGGAAGAGAAAAAAAAGGAAGAAAAGATGTCAAGGTTAAAGACCAGGTCCTCTGTGGGCATGAAAAAGAAGTTGTCCCTTAAAACTAATGGAGCTGCCTTCATTAATGCAGTGAGATGTTATTCTCCCAAAGCCATCTCATCATGCCCCTTTTTTTTATCCGTGAAATATTTCTATGAACAGTCACTATGGGGCTCACAAATGATGAGTAACTACCTACAAAGGGTCATAGCTTTCAGGTGTATAGGTTTCTTTTAACTTTCAGTAATATCTCTTGATCTGCTTATCGCCATCTACAGCAGTGGATGTGAGGTGTCTAATTATTTCTGTTACCCTTTACCTGTTCTCATAATAAAGCCTTTAAAGTAAAACATGACTTCACTAATTTGGAGTACTGCTTTTATTGAAGGGCTGAGCAGAGGGACCTAAAAGCTGTTTTCAATAGAGGCTGAGTGACCTCCAAGTTTATGTGACTCCAGGAGATGCAAATAGTCAGCACTCCTAAAAAACAGAGAGTAAAATATGGCCACATATTCAGCAACCAGTGTTTCTGCTGTTGTTTGAATCCCATTGGATATGGATTTTATCCTTAAAGCAGAAAATGAGACTTTGCAACTGGAAATGCCTCAAAATACCAGATAGTTTGTAAAAGGGAAGCTTGATCCTTTAAGTACAGTCATTATTATTCCTTAGCTGCAATGCTTGGCTGCAATAGAAAAACTGGGAGGTTTTATTTAGCTGGGAAGAACCAGCAATGCCCCACTAGATTTAGCCCTAAAATATTCTATTTTCTGTTTGTTAGAGAAATATTGATATGTGTTACAGGGAATGCTGCAAAGATCAGTGTGGTTGAGTACTCCATGCCTGTGAAAGTGACCACTTACTTTCCATATTTGCCATTCTAAAAAAGAAGGAAGCAGAGTGGCAAAAACTACTGGCCATGAATGACAAACACTGTCTGAAATTACCCACTCTCTTGACGTTCTAGGTTTGTTACCGAGACCCTTACAAAAGGAGTAATTTTCTTGTGAGTAACTCAGTCAATCTGTCTAGACAGGGCTAGAATGCTTCTAAGCACCTCTCTTTTATTTGAAAAGAAAAAAGCCACTAAGTTAGCAATCCTTTTACAAGGTTTATTCCACACACTGACTTTGATGTGGTGTTGTCAGTAATTACCTTTTCCCTTTTGTTCCACTCTTACAGTCTCACCACTTCAAGACATAATGGCATCTCTTCCACATCGTAAATAGATTATTTTTTTTTTCTCCTTCTCCTTTCTGGTTCCCTGGGTTGCTGCAGCACCTATTTTGTAAAGCAGGACCTGGAGGGTGCTCAATGTTTCCCTGAAAACACCAATGCCATGAGAGGCAGGGTGGCATATATGACTCATCTAAGTCATAGGATCATTAAGGTTGAAAAAGATTTCTAAGATCATTGAGTCCAACCTTTAAGTCCTGGAAAACGCATAGGAAGGAGAACGATTTCTCCTCTGTTGCAAAGTTAAAGCAAAAGAAAAAGCCACACAGCAATGATGGGGCTGTTAACATGACAAATACAATGTGACAAATTCCTTATTTATTGGCCTTTGCTCCACAGCAGGGGTCTGGCCGGCTGATGCCTGGGGACCAGCCGGAGCTGTCTGTAGCCATTAGGGCTGTCTCATAGCCCAGAGGTGATGAACAGGTTGTTTACTATCTAGATGACACAGTTGTATTTGTTCTCCATACCTGTTGACCAGTGCTCTGCCATGATGTTGGCTGGCTCTGTTTGTGTTGGTGTTAGCAGGTTATTAAAAGCTTAACACCGCTCTGACCCAGGTGCAGCAAAGGGCATTTCCTGACAGGAGGGGACTATCTGAAGGTGGCAAAGGACAGCAAAAGGCTTCCTCAGTCTTTGCTCCCTGGCATCTCATCACATCTGAAACAGATGTTTGTAAAATATGAGCCAAAGTCTTCTCACTTTGAGTTGGTGTAAGCTGCATGTCACCCTGCTGCAGCTATGGGTGTCATCAGGAGGAAATCCTGTAAGGGGAAACAGAACTGTGTCCCAAATCCTGTGGTCCTGCAGAATTTATGCAATTCTCCCTGATTTTGCCAAGCCAGATAAGGAGCAGTGAGTTCTCACAGCTAACTCGCTCACTGCTCTAGTGCTTATTTGCTTGTCCTTGCCTGATTCCCAGACCATCTTTTTACTCCAGCAATATCTGTTCTCTCTTCTCCTACTTCTTTTTGTGTTTGTACCCTCTGGCTATCCATGAAGAACAGTTTCTTTCCCTTGGCATAGGCTCTTAACACCTTCCTTTGCCCATCTACCTTCATGTTGTTCTTCCTCCCTACGTACCTCCATCCCTGACACCAACTTTCCCAATTTGCCTCTTGGTTTACTCCCCAGACCTCACAAACCCTGTGATTTCTACAGCTGGCACTCTGCCTCAGCTCAGCCTGATTGTGGCTCTCCACCATGGCCTCCTGTGCACTGTGTCCCATATATGAGACACCGATGATGGGCCTGCTCTGCTCTCTGTCATCCCCCTCAGGATGGATTAGGCTTTGCTGAAGCTTCAGGTCTTAGCCAGGATGCCCTGGGCTACAGCAAATCCTCCAGATGACACATACCCCAGTTGTAGCTCAGTGCCTTAGTCCATCCCTGCCATATTTTATGACACATTGCATATGGACTCAAATGTTGGAGAAAGCCGAGACTTTCACACTTTCCACAAGGCTGCAAATTCTTGTCTCCTTTAGCCTTTCATGTCTAACCTCTTCAGGACAAGCCTTGGAGGCAAGTGTTACCAGACCAACAAAGGTCTGACCCACAGCCTGCTACTCTTGTCATGTCCAACGGAACTGGTTCCATAGGCTGGGTAAGGTCTTCTCAATTATAGCAATTGCTGCAACTCCTCATGGGAAAACTTCTAGATATGTATGTCCCATAGGGCTTAGTCCCTTTCCAAAGTCCCTTGAGGAGCTGGCATGGAAGATACTAGTCTGCTACAATTAACTTACATTTCTACGTTTCACAATGTAGTGAGCAGTCTGGTTGTAATCTTCACACAGCTTTCATCTTCGGAGGTAGAGAAAAAAGGCATTTACCTTGCAGACTCATCTGTGGGATGAAATTGCTTCTTTTAACCACTAAATTGGGACCTCAGTCAGTAGGGAAAGCAGACTGAACTAAATACAGCCTCCATATAATCACAGGTGTTACATGAAGGCTGAATTTGATCTGTTGTCTCTTTCACCTGATTCACCTGATCTGGTTCCAGGGATTTTGTTAGAATTTGCATCAGTGGTGAATTTTCTTTGCACTTCAAAAATTGGTGGGTTTTTTGTTTGTTTGTTTAATTCGTTTGGTTTGATTTGGTTTGTTTTTTTCTCCCGGGCTTTATCACCTCACAGAGCCCACCACCCCTCATATCCATAAACGAATTCCTAAAAGGGCAAAATCCTCCTGCAGCAGAGGGTAATGAAGTTCCTGATGCTCCTAAGCTCTTGAATAAGGTACCGGCAGCTCCCAACACGTCCCTAGAGAAGCCCTATTTCTTGAACAAGAAATCCTTGTCCTTCTCGCAGTGTTTTTCCACTTCTCCACAGGGACATAATGATGGATCCCAGACTTTTATTGACTTTTCAGGAACATTGGCTTCAGGTCTTGAAGATAATCAAGATCTTCAACTGTGTTTGGTAATCTACAAGCAGCCAGCACAGCCATGTCCCTTTTGGTCAGCTCATCAACCTCTTGAACTGATTCACGTTCACAACTCCAGAGCTTCTCTAAAAGCTGTCCACTCATCATTCACCCCTAAACCCAGCCTGTCTCAATTCCTCCTGCTTAGTAGAGTAGTTTCTCTGTAGAGTCAGAGCAATTGCGCAGGGATGGCTTCTGGAAATACAGATCACTCCCATCTGCCTTCAGCCTCTGACTTAGCATCTTTGTTGAAACAACCTTTGTTATTCAGCAGAGAACCTCTTTAAGTGCTGAATCTTTTCTCAGTTTATTTTGAGTCCCTAAACTAACAGAATAAAATTCAAGTGGGGTCAAGTTTTATATAAATTCTGAAGTAATTGACAGTGAGAGTTATCTCACTTCCTAGTCTGTAGGACAGATGTCATCAGCTGAGCTACTCACCCTCATCCCCCTCTATGGTCAGCAAAATGCAATTGCACTTTCAAATACAATGGTTTTCACCTATGTTAGATCTCTGCAGCATGAAAACGTGAACTGTGCCCCAGATATGCATAGAGAGAGCATTTAAGGATCTGAAGTTAACTGATACAAATTTAACCATTGAGACTGATGAACTTGTAGCCAGCCCTCAGAAAATGGATGGGCCAAAGAGCATGTGGCAGGTCCAGGTGAACTGAAGAGATGAAGCTTCTTGGTGATATTAAGGAAGGCAAAAAACTTCCTTTCAGTGACATTACCATGTCTTGACCATATGTGCCTTTTCAAGGGCAGAAGCTCAAAGGAAGAAGCACAGTGGTGATGGGAGCAAATATGGCATTAATGAGCTCCTGAGAGATGTGAACCTTCACACAGATGTCAGGATACTTGGTTCGTCAGCAGATGATTTACCGACAGCCAGGGGCAAATGGTGCTGTCATGAGCTGTGTGTGAGCTGAGCCGTCCTGGAGTATATGCAAACAAGCAGGATGCAGGAGGACACCCAGCCTCTACCTTTTATTCTCTCCCAGGTGCTGCCACATGCACGACTGCTGCTACGACAAGGCAGAGAAGGCAGGCTGCAGCCCCAAGGTGCAGCGCTACCGGTGGGCGTGTGAGCAGAACACCGTGCAGTGCGGTAAGGAAATGTTTGCTGTTGTCGGGTGTGTTTCTCTCCCTCTGCAGGCACTAGGCTGACCAAAGAGTTTTGTGGGCCCCAGAGGCAGGTTTGTATATGCTGAGCTGCTCTCAAAGCTGCTTTAAGAAACATCTATTCTCTACCAACATCTGTGCCCATCCCTGGATTGATAGGCTTGCCAAGAGTCCCCAGCTAGAGGTGGGAGGAAAGCTGGAGCCCCAGCACCACCCATTCCAGGTAACCTGAGTGGTCCCCAGGCTGAAGAGTGAGAGTTGGGGCGTCCACAAGCCATCTCATTTTGGCAGGGGTGCAGATGCCTCTCTGTAGACCTTCTACTCACTGGCATTAAGCATTGCCTGCTCCTCACTGACCTCTTTCCACAGCTGTGCAATGATCTACAGGGGTGCTCTTTCCATTGCAGTTTTGGCCCTCCCTCCAACAGGACTGTTCACTTTTTTACTTACCCTTATGTGCTGCTAGAGAAGAGCCATGCTGTTTTGCATGGCTGCAAGACAGGTTAAACAGGGTGCCAGCCTGCATCTCTGCCTCATGTGGGGTTCCAGCCTAAAATCCCAAGGTTCCAGCAGGGATTTTGAAGCTTGTAGAATCAAATGCTCTTCAGTGCTCCAGGCATACAACGAGTGTAGGCTGTGCTGAGCTCTACAGCTGGTACCCAGTCAAGAAGGTTTGAATTACACAATCACAACCCGTCAGTGTCTTGCAGAGTTTGTTTTGACATGCACCAGATGACTTGAGTCTTAGTATTTGTCACTTCTAAGTCTTCAAGAAGTCCCTGGTGGTAAAATCCATTGTAGCACACTTTGAAAGTTTGAAAAGAAACACGAGAGTAAAACTTGTCCCCATAATCATCAAAGCTACTTGCTCAAACATTGAAAGATAACTTATCAGAAGACCATATTCTATTGGTGCAATCCTCAGCCTCGCCAGCAGCTGAAAACATGCCAGGAGGTATGGGATGGGGCACAGCACATCTGCAGTTGCTCTTTTCCAAGTGCCAGAACAACCTATTAAATACAAAGTGCTGGCTAAGGAATGTACCACTTTAATGTATAACTGCTCTTCCTTCTGCTTACCCACGTTTCCATAGCTGACTGATATCCTCTGCAAGTCATCTTTAAATGAAAAAAAAAAAAAATCCTGTTTCTTTTTGCCGTGAGGGAACAAGTTGTGAATTTGAGATGTATCACTGAGTCCATGAGACATGTGCAGAGTCTGTCCCATAGGAGTGCAGTGGGCTGCAGTTGCTCTGACTTGGCTAACAAGCATTAGTTAAACAAATGCCATTAATTCCCTAACTGACGTCCAGGCAAGACCTGAGATGCATCCATGAGGGCTTGTTCTCCACAAGCCCTCAGCAGGTTTTACTTCCCCTGATATACCCCATGGGGACGAACAATAGAAATGTGTTCTGAAGGCATATTTCCTACCCCAAGCTACAGCACAGCAGGTGTTACTGGGGTGCAAAGGTATAATGTCTGATCCCATTCAAACAAAAGGGATGAAGAATTAAATTTCCAGGCATGCTTGCTGGGCCCAGGGTAATGATGTCCAGAAGCTTTAGAAGCAGAATTGTTTGCACTGTCATTCCAATGCAATAGGAATTAAATGCCTGTTGCCTGACACTGGAACATAAACACAGACATTTTCATGTAAATTAAACAGAAACTCATTTTACCTGGGATTTCTCCTCCTTTTGCTACCGTTCAGTGGTTTTATTTGTGATATGAAAATAATTGGCAAAACCATATTCTTCAGTCCATATATGCCATAATCTGTAGGCAAATTGCATTCAATAAATATCTGAAATATAGGAAAGGCTGTAAGTTGTGGAGGCTGGTCAAAAAAAAATCATTCTGCTCTAACAGAAATGCTGTGAAGCCAGGCTTTTGTACTCACATTAGATAGACAGTGGCTAGCACAGCATAGGAAGAACTAAAGGAGCAGAGGGGCAAGATTGGTATATCACGCAAGATAGGTAGCTAAAAAAAGTGGCCTTAGTGCTAAAGAACTAGTTGGTAGGATCCTTGAAACACTTTTTACCAGTAAATGTGTGATTGTTCAGACCAGCTTAGGAAACACAGGCTTTATTTATTTATCAGATACAGGGTTGATCCAGCAAAGTCCAGTGTAATCTGCAACAATTCCTGTACTCATTGCAGTTGGTTTTGGAGTGAAACTTTGCATGAAATTATATATTGAACTTCGCATACTGGAGGTTGTGTCAGTGTTAGATAATCCATGGTAGCAGCCTCAAAGAAAGAAGGCACTTTGCTTTGAAATAACATTAGCCCAATGGCTGCATTTGAGCCACCTAGGGGTGGGATGTGGTTCATTAACCCCAAATCAGTCATTTGCAATGTAGCCATCTAAGCTGGTGGCTTTGATGTTCCTTATGGTCCTTACTTAGTCATCTAGTCATGACTAAGTTGCATTCTCTATAGTTCTGTGTATGGCTTTGATCAGCTTTGTTAGCTGCTGGCTCATAAAATTCAGGTGCCTGGCCCTGTTGCAGAGTTCTTTGGCTCCTCTGCCATGGTCAGAGAGAGATGTAACTAACTAATGGAACATGAGTGAAGAATGCCCAGTGGGTGCTTCTATGCCCTCAGGTTTCTGCCTATGGGACGCTCCTCCTTTCAAAGCAGCATTTTTTTCCTTTTGAAGTCAGTCTGTTTTGCAGAAGGAAGAATTAGAAGGGAAATTTACTGACTGAGGAAAGGTAGAATATTTTTAGTTCAGGCTAAGATAAAATAATTTTCTTCTTTAGCTCTGATTGCTGAATTAAGCCCCCATTGATCACAGAGCTCTAGAAGCAGGGAGTGCTCTGTACTGGGCAAATTTTTATAAGCACTGCCAATTTACATTTAGTTGCTACTTTGTGATGTTCTTGGTCTGTTGACAGAGAGAGGACAGGGGAGGGTCAGATCCACTCACAACATGACATGTTGGGCCTGCTGCCACAGCCTCTGATCCCTAAGAGTTGCTTTTTCAGGGAATTGTTCCTCCTAAAATTGTTTCTTGCCTTCAACTGATATAGAATCTCTATCATCCTCTGCTCACATTTTCTTTTGCAGGTAACCTGACAGACCAGTGTGAAAAAATGGTGTGCCTGTGTGACCAAGAAGCAGCCAAATGTTGGGGAGCAGCCCCATACAACCCACACTTCATCCTCTGGCCAGACTTTTTATGTGGACGGACTCATCCCACCTGCCATGTCAGAAATGGGGGGCCAGAATAGTCTTTTTAGGACCTTTCTTCTAACCCTTTGAATACAAAGGTGCTGCAATAAAATTCTTCCTCCTTTCCCAGAGCTAACAATGGTGTGAGAGAATTTCTATCAGGCCAGGGTTTATGGGGAGGAGAGACAGACCAGGCAGGCGCTGTGGTGGAGTTGTCCTCCATGTGAGGCAACACATGGAATGTGTCGAGCTCTGTCTTGGGGTGGACAACGAGCAAGTTGAGAGCTTATGGGTTAGGGTAAAGGGGCAGACTAGTAAGGGTGACATCATTGTGGGTGTTTGCTCCTGGTCAGGAGGAGGAAGTGGATGAGGCCTTCTTCAGGGAGCTTGAAGCAGCCTCAGTCACAGACCCTCTTTCTAGTGGGGGACTTTAACTACCCTGACATCTGCTGGAGAAGCAACAGGTGACAAAAATAAGTAAGAGACTGGAACATCTCTCTTATGAGGACAGGCTGAGAGAGTTGGGCCTGTTTAGCATCGAGAAGGTATGACTGAGAGGGGACCTCATCAATGTCTGTAAGTATCTGGAGGGAGGGTGTCCAGAGGATGGAGCCAGGCTCTTCTCGGTGGTGCCAAGCAATAGAACAAGAGGCAGTGGGCAGAAACTGATGCACAGGAGTTTCCACTCAAATATAAGGAAGAACTTCTGTGCTGTGCAGGTGACCCTTCACTGGAACAGGTTGCCCAGAGAGGTTGTGGAGTCTCCCTCAGTGGAGATATTCGAGACCTGTCTGAACACAATCCTGTGCCATGTGCTCTGGGATAACTCTGCTTGAGCAGGGAAGTTGGACCAGGTGACCCACTGTGGTCCCTTCCAACCTGACCCATTCTGTGATTCTGTGACGGGGTAAAATATATGCTGAATTAAGGACAAGATCCTGGTCTGATCATGTCCTTCGCAGAAACAGAGGGTTTGGCCTGCAGTGCAGTGGGAACACATTACCTGTCACCACATGGCTTTCTTTTTTTTTTTTTTTAAATCACAGAATCATAGGGTAGTTTGAGTTGAAAGGGGCCTTTAAAGATCATGTAGTTTCAATCTCCCTGCAATGAGCAGGGACATCTTTAGTCAGATCAGGTTGGTCCGAGCCCAGCTGTCTTATCCCTCATGCTCCTGCCTCCCAGCACTAGGGACACTTCTGAGCTGAGTTGCAAGGATCAGTGTTTCTGACTTCTACTTACTAGTAGGTGCAGCCATACTTTGCAAAAGAATATACTCCTCACGTGTTACACAGATTTCAGAGCTGATATGCTGCTCTCTGATACAAATAGAAGATGGTCTCCTATATTGGTACATCCCCCTGTCACTGACTGCCTGGGAATCAACTATTGTCATGTCAAGAAAGGGAGACTGTGGAAAATATCAGTCATGTCAAGAACATTTTTCATCTCTCCTCTTTTTTTTTTTTTAAGGGTATTAGAGGCTTATATCGAAACACTACATTTTCTTCTGGCAAGAGTAAAACAAAATCCCGTTCTTTCAGCCAGGGGTTAGCTATGTACAAGTGGGCCTTCTTTCTGCCTTTGTTACAAGCCCGTAGGCTGGAGCAAGGCAACAGGACAAGATCCTCTATACTGGGAGGCACAGGCAGATGGGAGCCACAGCTACACCCCGGAAGCAACGCTTTTGATTTCTTTGGGTAGGTGGAAGCAGCTGGGTAGGTCGGGTTCCTTCTGTCTCTGCTGAAGCACAGCTGACAGACTTTGAATATCACCTTTAAAATAAGAAATAATAGCATGGAAAGGCCCGAAGTACCTCATCAGAGTCTAAATTCAGACAAATGTAGGCAAACTATGTGGCGTTTTGGCAGGTGAGAATACAAATTTCTTCACAAAAGGCTGCTTTGCTCCTCACTGCAGGAGGATGGTGAATATGCCACTCTGACTGTCAAAGCTGCAGGGAAAGAAACAGGCTAACAAAAATAAAAATCTCAAAGACAACATGTAGAGACAAAGGCTTTTATTCTGTCTAGAGCTCCATTTTTTGGCTTACAGGGCATCAGAAGTTGTTCCACCTGTAGGCTTCGCATCTTCCAGCAACTCTTGCAATGTTGCACCTCAAGCGACGCTGAGCAAGAAGGAAAGGAGAGAGAGTGAGTGAACGATACAGAGTCAGTACAATATAACAAACTCCTTCAAGGCTTTCTGGCAAGTAAATAAGTTGTGAACTCTTCATGCAGAGGGTTTGCAGAGGGCTGATGCTGTGTGGGCAGCATTAGCCTAAGGGAGTGAGCGTGCTTCCCAGCAAGGGGTGGAAGACCCTCCCCGTTGAGGGAGGCAGAACTCCTGGCGCGTCCCTGTCGCTGCCACACTGTCCATCAGGTGGCGGCAGCGCTCCAGTGAATGGCAGGAGCAGCTCTCCCTTCAGCCTTTCCGAGAGGGGATTTTTTTCAGCAGGCCGAGCAAGTCCTTTGAGTGCCAGGAGAAGAGGTACAAATCACACATCTCCTCACTGAACGCCAAAAAGTCAGCTGAGCTCGGTTTGAAACGCATACCACCTCTCGGGTTGCACAAAATGGCAACTAAGCTTGCTTCGAAATCCAGCCTTCTGTGTCAGTCTCCTCAAACTAGACTAGTTGACAGAACTGAAAAAAAAAAACCCAGGTGAGCTTTCAGGCACATCAGCCTCTTACTGCATCATTTCTTTGGCTCATGTGTGATGAAAACCTCTAGTTTTTCCAACCTGATCAGCTGATGTAATAAAAAAGATTATTGGGTTTTACAAACCACACCTCACTCATTTAAGCCATCATAGGCTTTCTGTACATAAGCATTACAAGAACACAGCATGTAGTGGGTAGGAGGAAGAACCATCCTTCAGCATAAATCTAAAAGAACTGAATGAGTCCTAGGACTTTGTTGAAAGAAGCAGCAGCATCTCATTGAACAACTCTGTCAAAAGTGGCAATTAAAGAAGATCGTATTGTTTTGTTTATAAGCAACTCATTAGGCCCATGCATCAAGGTCTACAGAGCATAAACAAAGAATTATTTGAAAAAGAGATGGAATATAGAACAAGCCCCATTAGCATTTTATGCACACTGCTTATTTCCTGAACTAGATCCGATGTCTGACCAGAGGTAAGTAAATGGCTAATTCCTCTTTAAGTAAGTTAAAAAAAGGTACCTTTGGCGAGACTCTTGTCTCATGCAGAGGATGCACTTCCTCAGCTGCGGGGTTAAAACAATGATCAGAACCACTATGCCTCCAATACCGGCTGCCACAACCCCAATGATTGTTCCAATGGATTCTTCTATACCAAACAAGGCTGGAGGAGAAGGGAAGGTAGAGAGAGTAACATAAGATGTTGTGCAGACATGCAATGCAGCCAGCATGTTTTCTGCCGTGGCTGAAGAGGAAGCTACTTACTAGGATATCGATTATGCTGATGTCTTGTCTGACATGAAATCATGGGCTTCTACGTGGGAGAGAGTATTGCACTACAGAGGTATTGATTTTTTTCACTCCAATGTAGCAAGCTGCTACACTTTCTGGGGCTTTAGAGACAGGACAGCCCCACTGCCCTCAGAATCTCCTTTAACAGTTAGGTGCTATGGGATGGCAAAAGATGCTGCTCCCTGAATTAATGGGACTCATGCCGTATGCTTTATTTTCAAATGGGAAAAAAATTACTCGGACAATTTCAACAAAATCATTGGTCTCCTTGTCCGTCTCCAAAGAAGTCAGCATGGGAGAGCAGACAGAGCTCTTCTGAAATCCTTTCTTCAGTTGGTTGCTCTTTGGGACTGTTATATGGCAGAGATGGCATAGCAATTATACTGGCTAGAGTGTAGACATTGCAAGAGTAATCTGCGCTACTGAGACTATGAGATCAAGCCAAGAGAAGACCCCATTAGTTACACAACTAAGCCCTTGCAGAGGAACACAGTTTTCTTGCCTTGTTAGTGTTGCAGTTAAAACTGAATGGTTTCATACACATTAGTAAATCAGGCTCAAAAGAGCAAAGACCTAGTGAATCTTGGTGAGCTAGAAGCTTTGGTAATTAATAAGGGGGAAATGGCACTTGCATAATTTACTCTTGACACAGAAGGTGCTATTTTTTGTTAATTAGATAATAAGATAATAACCCTTCTGATGTGTTGACTTTTTGGGACTGCAATGTGTTTAGCCTATGGAAAATGGGTTGACATTTCCAGCTGATAAAGGCAAAGTGAGTTATCTCTTTACTTAATATGCCTAGTGTCTATCTGAGAGGCTAAGAAAACACAGCATGGCATTTTTAATGCTACTTTGATTTTAATGTGAATGAAGTTAATCAGAAATTATACAATGTGATCCTTGTGTTCATTATGGGATTACTTACGTCATCCAGAGTTAAGGAATGACTATGCAAGTTAGTGGGTTGGAGAAAAATAATGTCAAAAAAAAAGAGTTTTGGAGCTGTTCCCTGAGATGATATCTTGACACCTTTCACTCATGGGGGTTCTGCCAGAGCTGTGATTACAAGGGAACTTGTCTGTTTCATTCTTGGCACTGACTTAATTTTTATGGATAAAATTATTCCTTCTTTTTTTGGTTGTATATGCTCCTCCTTATATAATACCTGTTTGACTGTTTATAGAGACAAGCCAATCAAAATTAGCTGGCCTTACAAAACTAATGAGAAATGCTATAGAGCAATTACACTCCATGACACCGGGCCCTTACAGCTAGAGGACAAAAATTACCTTTCTGCAAGCATGTAAACCAGCTTTGGAGGAAAAACAACGAGAAAAGAAGTCAATAACATCAAATGTTACCCAGAGCCCTCCTGATCCTGAGCTTTGTGCCATCTCCTGTCACCACCTTCCCGTCCGGAAGTGTAACCTCACAGAAATAAATACCATGGTCACTGGTTGTCACACTGAGGATAACCAGGGAGGCATCCCCTTGGGACAAGTCTCCACTCATGAAGACCCTGGAGTTATTTGGCAAGACGGTCACATTGTTTTCTATCAGGTCCATCTGCCCCTTTTCATCTTCTTTGTACCACTTCACCATCAGGTCATTCAGGGAGGGGCGTCGTGGACTGTTAAAATGGCAATTTAAGACCACAGTTTCACCCTCTTTGGCTTTCTCTTTGGCTGGTGTTTGAGTCACCAAAAGGTTCCATGGCTCAAGTGTTGTCAACAACAAAGGCTGTGCTGTTACATGAGTTACAGCTGCTGCATTCTCCTTGCTTGCGCTTCCACCAGTAACACCGACATCTGCACCAGGAAAGAGAAAGAAGAGGACGGTTGAGAATGATAAACCTTCCAGCTGCTCCTGACCTTTAACCAGCACAAAGAATGGCTCCTGGAATTAGCACTTGAGGGCAGTCAATATTATGATGATGGGGTTTTCTTCTTAATTCCTGCTTAGATTATATTCTTGTGTACAGATGGATCTTTTCCTGAACCTCAATTCCTTCCTACTGCCATACTAGACCAGTCAGCCACATTTTCACCTGAAACACTAAACTCTTTCTTCCCACCCCAAAAAGCATCAGGGCCTGATGTTCCTGCCTCAACTGCTTTTGAGGCAAAGCAAAAAATGCACATACACTCACACACTGGCAATTCTGTTCTGGCAAGTACAGTGAATAAGTGTGCATCCTAATGCGACTGCCTGCATCCCAAAACATAATATGAGCTTCTTAGAATTTTTGGTGTGCATTTCCAACTGTGGAAATTGAAATTGTGGGAAGAATGTCCGTTGCCAGAGACCGAACTCCCAGCAGATCTGATCAGCAGTATGGGAGACAGAACCTCAGCCTCCTGCAGGTACTGATACTGAGGGTGACAGCTGTTCTCTCTGAAGAGACCATTGTCCTGTTAACTTTTGCTAGAAAAATATGAGCATGACTGCAGTAGATATTTAAACCTGCCTTCTCACACTCAGGTGCTAATCATAGTATCAAACAACCTCTAGCTACGAATAGTGAGAGTGGATCTTGTTTCTGGAAACAATAACCTGGGCACAGAAGATGAGAGGAATAGTTGCTTTCTCAAAAAGAGGGGAAAACAAACCTAAAAATAAGCCAACAGCTTTTGCCAAGAAAGTGTTCAGACCAATTTTTGGAAAAGGTTCTTCCGTTGTTTTATTTTCTTCAAATGAAATAGTCTCCTTTCGAACTAGTTGATGTCCTCTCACGGACTGCAGACAATTGCAGAGTGAAGGGCTTGATTTTCCATTGTCTTGAGTCTTTCATTGCCATCCATAGAGTGTGAAACACTATTGTCTAGGTCTGGTAAAGCTTCACAATGACAATAGATCCTCTCTGCTCAGGGACAAATGTCTCAAGGCAACAGAAAACCAACCCCCTTGATAGTCGGTTTGGGAGTTAGTTGAATGGCTCCTTCAGGCATGCTTGTACACAAAATCACAGTTGTATTCATAGTTATTATTATTTATGACTCTTATGGGAGTAGAGGATTTCTTTCAGACAGCAGGGCCCTGTTGTTCTGAGTGCCTTATAAAAGGATGGGGTATATAGCTTACAGTTTAAATATCAGACAAGAGATAACTCGTGGGTGCAAAAATACAGGAAATATAAACAGGCTATGAAACCAGGCAACAACAAAGCATATGAAAAACATTACGAGCTGTTTTGGCTCTTACCTCAAAGAGAAAATTTTTGCCTTTTAACTGGAACACCAAACCATGAAAATCAAATGCCTGAGAATTAGGCACCCAAATATAGTTTTGAATCTGGTCCCCTAAAATTAGTGATCCTTATTAAAGATACTGGATGAGATACTATCCTCCTGTTCATATGTAATTGTACCAATGAGCCTGCTGGAGCTTCTTTGGGAAATCTGAGTTCCGTATTCTCCCTTTCCAGTTAGATGCGTGTATTGATGCAAGAGTCACAAAGTTGAAGTATCTTGACAAGATACTTTGATGAAATACAGAGTATAATTGAAATACTTGACTAAGCTGATAGTAGCTTGACATACTACATACATATTTGTGCATCCAATATTCTGATGTGATATATTCGGTTATTTATTAGAGTGAATTTGAGCAGTTTCATAATGAGTACTCTTTTAAAATTTCAGTTTATTAACCATCATCTTCACCTGTTGTTTTAACCAAAGCAGTGTGTGCTACTGCTACCTTGTTTTCAAGGAATGGCCACAAAACTTCTTCTCCACTACAAGTATTCTAGCCTTGCCATATGCATCCCTGTAACACAACTGTAAATTTTATTCCTTTTAGTGATGCAAAAGGTATCATTTTTATATAGCCACTTAGTGGGTAGAGAACATAACTGAGCAGGAACAATGTGCTCCGATGTTGCCTCTGTTCATCATGAGTTTTATTTGCATCTCCTGTCATGAAATAACTGGCCTTATCATCTGTTATCCCAGATCTTTGATTCAATACAAATCATGTATTGAAGATAATCAGGAAAATCAAAACACAAGAAGAGTCGGCCGTATTGTTTCATCCCAGCTCTGTTTGAGTGTTTCACTGAGAAGGTCACAGCACTGCCTCTATTTTTCTTTCTTCGTTTCTTTTTCTTCTTTAGGGCTGCAAAACTGGAACATATTAGTTCACTGGTATTCAAATACACAATGCCCTTATCGTATTGGCATCTGGGAGCACGCAATGCCAAATGCTTTGTTGACTCTGCTTCAAAGCTCTTTTTAAGTCAATTGCTTCATTAGCAGAGTGATGTGTAGGTCCCTTGTCATGCGGGTTGTAGGGCTGGAGAGCAATGCAAGGCTTTTTGGTGAAAGCACTTGATCAAGACAGAATACAGAGAAATACAGCATGAATAATCTTGTCTTGACCTGGAAAAACGATTAGATGATCTAATAGGTCAGTGTCACATAAAGTCGTTAGTTCACGGTAAGTTTTCAGCCATGAGGGGAGAAAGCTCTCTGGGACTCCCTGTAATGTGGCAGTGTGCTCCACATTTGGCAGCACTAATAGGGCACCTACTAAGCCCTCAGCCTCCCCTTTACATAATCTGCAGGTTGATACTTTCCCATGTAAAGCCATATCAGCGAAAAATACACAAAGCAGGCTAGAGGAGGTGGGGTGACAAACAGAAAGCATAAAATATAACTGCACTCTCTTCCTGTCCTGGAGCCTCTAACTGACTCTTTGGTGCCTGGAGTAAACCCAAGCAGCCCTGCAAGCTTCTTTTGCCAGCTGTCAGCAACATGGGGGAACAAAAATGGTGGGCGGAGGTCAGCACAGAATGTTACCTTTTCTTTGTTCACACTCAGTAGCTGGAGGAGAGGTTGAGGGCAAGTAGGGTTTGATTTCTAACCCACATAAAAATCCTCTCCTGCTGAAATGACTGTCTTTCAGGTGGTTTTGTTGGCTTTAAAGCTCAGCTTCACATTCATGCCATGCTGGTGCCATGAAGGTGCTTTAAAAGCTGTATCCAGCTCCCAGCGATCAGTGACTGCACTTTGCTACTATTAATTTATATGACTTTTGCCCTGGACTGAACTTGGCTTTCACAAATGGATATGAATAACTACCTTTTGACAATAACTGGTTGCTAATACACCAGAGAACCAAAATAGAAAAGAAACTTCTAGCAATGATGATACACATCTCAAAAAAGACAGGCAAATACACTCTTTCTGAACATTTATATTAGCTGAACAGGAATGTATCTAAAAAGAAAAGTATGTTTTAATGCAATGCACTACTGTTTCTCTGCAACCTGAGGAAACCTTCAGTGGAAAGTTGCTTTTTGAAAAATAGAAGAGAACCTCTCAAACCAAACTCTAGGAACTAATTCTTCTAATTAAGGTTTAGTACTCACCCAGCACCAAGAAGAAGAGGAATGAAGTTGCTGCAGACCTATAGAGCTTCCCAATGTGCTGAATCATAGCTGCTGAAGTATATGGCCTCACTGTCTCTCCCTCTGGTCGTATGGGCAAAAAATATGTATGTATTATAGCAACAGGACCGCACATTCTGCCCAGTGAATGTCACACTTACTAAAGTTACCACAGCTTTGAGCTCACAGTGCTCTGCCTGCTGCCTGGATGACAGCCACGTTTGAAGTGACAACAATGACTTCCCCTGCGGCTGTTCTGAGCTCCCTCTGAGAAGATGTCGAAAATGCTTTGAGAGCAGAGGAAAGATAATACATTGTTTTTCACTTTAGCCTTGTACAAACCACAACTTTGGTTTGAACACAGAGTATCCAAATACTCAAAAGGAGACCTTTCTTCTGCTGAACCACTCCCAAGTAAGTGGAGGCGAGAAGAGAAAGAGCATTGGATTAATTTTCTGAGCAGCTGGACTCCTATCATCCTAATACACCACAAAAGGAAGTTTCAGAAATTTAATATTTTTGTGACTATATGTACATGATGTTTACAGGTAAAATGTATTCCCCAAGGTATTCTTTTCAGTGCAGAACAAATGCTTTTTTATCAAAATTTGATTACTTAAACTCTGTTTAAGTAGAGCTTGTCCATGCCACCAGGGTGGAGGGGAAAACTGCTGAAGCAGGTGGTCTATCTGCAAAACCAGCAGGTGTACTCTGAAACAGAGTCTAGGTTTACATGAGGCACACATGGAGCACGACTTTGTGGGAAGAGCTGCAGCAGCCCCAAATGCTACCTGTACCATCCAGCCCCTCCAGCAGTGTACCCCTGTACCAAGCATGTGCCACCCTCAGTACCTGGCTGACACCTCTTCCCTCAGCTACAGGATTAGGGATTACTGCACATTTTGTCTAATGATCTTGTATATCTTTAAAACTCTCCAGGTAATGGAATTATGATTGAGTATCCAGTAAAAACTCAATTCCCTATCTCTTAAAATACATATAAACCACAGTTCAGCTGAGAGAGGCATGAGTATTTCTGCTTTTCTTTGCATTTGAAAGCAAAAAGGACCCATATCTCACTTGAAAAACTTGGCTGACCAAACAATGTCAAGAGGAACAATTCATTCCTGTAGTCACCAGTTGTTACTCTAGCTTTGGTGTGCTGACACCAAAGCAGTAGTATCAGCAAAAGCAGGATAGGCTAGAGGGAGTATAGCTAAAGGAACTTGGAGGGCAAATACTTCTCTGAAATAGCTTGGAAGAGTGGGAAGACCTAGGATTACCAGGCAGGAATCACTCCAAAGCGAAGTATATATTAAGAAGGGAACTGGGATCAAGTGCAGAGCAACACAGCACTTCAGAGGAAAGTTGGAAAGAGGTTTGTGGGGGTCTTCTGAAGGAAGTACTGCCAAGGCGTAACTGAGTAAAACCAAATTATCCATGAAAGGAAAAAATTAGAGGAGTCAGAAACGATCAAGAGTTCGAGGAGGGAAAACCAGTAGAGTCAAAGGCATCTGGCATATGAAGAGGAATTGGGACCAAGTTACTGAGCTTAGAGTATTGGTCATGACTGCGTGTCATAGAAGTCAGCGTGGGAAGATGGAGGTAGACTAAAGGCAATCCAAACAGTGTCTGATTCAAACCCAAGTATTTGGTGTGCTTCAAAAAAACCCTTCAAGTGTGTTGTGATGGACATACTACCATTGTTCATGCAAATGCTGTTTATGTTCATTTCATCCTGTAATAGCAATTCTCTTGTGAATCCTCTATTGAATAGGTCAATGCCCGAGCAAAACTGCCAGATCAGCCAGCTTTTAACCAAGGGAATACAAAGGAGGTTTAGTGTCGCTGGCAGCCAGGAGTTGAAAATGAAGCTTCTCCCACTTGGATAACCCAATCCTATCCTAAGAGAATCTCAATTTTTGGACAAAATGAAAAGTAAATTTGGTACACAGATTGTTGTTGATAAAAGCATGGAAAAAAATTGAGTTTTAGAGGTCTAAATCAAGAAACCAAGAACAAAAATGAAACAAACCACACATTTTTTCACACTTTCTTGTAAATTTTGGAGACTCACAGTCTCTTGCATTAAAACTTTCCTGTGTGGGCCAACAGCTCGGAGGGGACATCAGCCACTGGGATTTCACTGATACCTTTGCTAATGTATCAGAGGGCAGATATTGCAGGGCCCTGAGATGTTGTTTCAGGGAGAGCCTTCACATGCTTTCAGGGAAATCCGTGGAGAGAAAGGGGACAGCAGGAAGAAACAGTGCTGTCACTACAGTCTGCTCTACCCTTCCTTCCCTTGGCTGGCCATCCATCCATCCCTTTTCATCATCTACCAGGCAGCTTGCCCAGCAAGGTGGAGATTTCTTTGCATCTCACAGGGCTCTTCTTCTTCCGTAAAGTGACCTGAGGGCACAAGTCTGTGAGCCATCATCGCACTGGTTGGGTCCCCTGACTTGAGAGGCATCGTTTGCTGCAGTCTAAGACGGACTCCAGCTTTCCCAACCTCCGTGTGCTCACAGCTTGGGGCAGAAACCACCTGGCGCTGCTCAGCAGCTTCAAAAACGAGACCCTGGGTATCCCGCATTGACTTCCTTTATGTCACCTCATCCTCCGCTGAGCCCGCAGCCAGCCTTCCCCCTCTCCCCCTAGGTGTCCCCCTGGAGCGGCCTCCCGGCGATGTTTCCCGTCGAATCCCAAGAATTTAGGACTTGGGAACCTTTTTGCTGCCCGGGCGCTGTTGAACCCACTGCCGGGGCTGCGCGCACGGGGTAATCCCTGGGGATGGAGGCAGCGAACACCGCCCACCGCCCCCGCCCGGGTCCCCGCTTCAGGAGTCTTTCCTGCCACAGCCCTCAAACTTTCCACCGGCTCCGTTTAAATCTCCGTGGAAGGCGCAAAGGGGTCGCCGGAGCCGGCGGGGGGGGGGACTGGGAGGCGCCACCGCCCTCTCCGCCCCCCATGACGGCCCCCGCTCCCCGAGCGGCGTTGCCGCTCGCCCTTGGCAACCCCCTCCGCCGCGGGCCGGCGCGGCGGCCGGCGCCGGCCCCTTTAAATGGCGGCCGCGGCCCCCGCCGTGCGCCCGCGAGGAGGCAGCGCGCCGGGCCCGCGCCGCCCTCGCCCCCTCCATGGTAAGCGCCGCGCTCCCCGCCCGCCCCTCCGCGGGCCACCGCGCCCCCCGGGCTGGCGCAGGTAGGTGCGGGGGGGCCAGCCCCGCTCCTGCCCCGGGGAGCCGCGCGGGCGGCCCCGCGGGCAGCAACTGGGAAGCGCGCCGCGCCGCCTCCACTCCTCCCTCGAAGTTGGGTTTTTTTTTGGAGGGGGGGAGGAGTGGTGGCCCTCGGGGCCCCCGTGAGGAGGGCCGGCGAGCGCCCCGCGCGTCTTCAACAGGGAGAGTCCGGCTCCCGGGACGCCGCGGGGACACCCAGGGGAGGCAGCCGCGAGCTCCGGCGTTATGGGGGTCGGAGCGGCGGGCAGCCAACTGGGGATGGTTGTAGCTATCCCGGGTGTTTGCGTGGAACCCCCCGGGGTCAGCCCTGCTCTCAGCCACGTATGCGAGCCCCTGCCTCTGCCTCACCCCGCTGTCCGCCCCGCAGCGCGTCCCTGCCTGGCCGCGGGCTCGCTGCAGCCCCGGGAGGGCTGGGCGGTGTGCGCAGCCCGGCTGGGGGGGCGTGTGTGTCCCATCACCGGCTCGGGGTTGAGTCGGTTTGCACTCCAAACTCAGCGTTGTCTCGTCCCGGCAGATCGGTAGTACAGGCGATGTTACTGGTTAGGGCCCTGGGCTGGTTTGGTACCGTTTGCTGGGTGAGTTGGGACTAGTGACTTTTTGTGGCTCTGTTTGCCTTCGTAAAGTAAAACTGACCTTCAAAGTGAGGAATACTGATACCAAGGGACAGTGCTACAGAATTGGAATATAGTGCTACTTACTATCTTTCTAAGTGATATGAGTCCAAGTATGTGCCTCTGAGTGTTGTGCTTGTATTTATATACAACAAAATGTACAATTTATAGTGTAAGTAAAAATATTTGATGTATCGTTATTATAATAATATATATCAGTTCTCTGGTAAAAGTGCTACAGCTGTATGACAATTCTCAAGTTTTGAGAGGTCTCAGAGGTTCCTGAGATGTGCTGCGTGTTATGGACTGATGTTTCATGTTGATATTATTTCAGTTCTAAGTATCTGTGCAGCTTCAATGTGCAAGTTGAGGGGCTGCTGTGGAAATGAAATACTTTGAAAAAAATGTAAGTAATAATTAAATATAGTATATTCTAGGAAAAAAAGTCAAAAAGTTGTCAATGGGAAATGTTTCAATAACACTCACCTTGGTGAGGCTAGCATGCCACTTTTTGTGTAATATACAGATTAGCCATCTTATTTCACCTTTCTCCACCGCTGCTGAATTACATACCTTGCTTCTTTGTTCACAGGAAGTTCATGAAGTAGATCATGGTCTTGTTAACCAGCTACTTGCTGATTCAGAGGACACTCTTAATTCGTGCACAGAGAAAATGCAGGGTCCTGCTCAGTATAGCTGGAGTGCTGACTGGAGCTTTTGGGTAATGTGTTTTATTTCTCTTCTAATTTGTTTTTAATTTATAAATGTAATACATGTATATTTTAATTTATATATGTGTGTATATGTACAAGCTTTATATCCACTGTTCTCAAGTTGCTTTGTAGTCATGAATTAGTAAAGTGCTCTCCACCCATGTAGTGAGGTTGGTAATTTTATCATTATGGGCTTACCAAAGTGTAAGGTGAGACTGAGAGGGGGTGAAGTTGTTTACCTGATGTCACATATCAAGTTAGTAACAGAACTTCTGGCTTCTGTGCGCAATCCTGTCTCCCGGTTCCTGGCATGGTTCATTAATGTACCCCGTGTCTCTTTATGCCTTTAGAAAAACATTATTGATGCTTTTTCACCATAAGGGGTGAATTTTGATTCTCATTGTTGGGTGATTCTTCTGATGTGCTTTCTTACTGTCTGTTTTTTGTCAAGTAAACACATTTGTTTTCTACAAGAGTAAGTAAGCTTCCTGTCTTCTGTGTAAAAATGGGATTTGTGAATAAGAAGGGCAGAAATGAGGGGTTTAACTTTGTTCCTCTCCAGGGAAATGCTTCACTGAAAGCAGAGGGTGTAATAATAAGTGCTGATTTGAATACTTTCCTCATACTTTTGGTAGTGTTTTTTTAATGCCTTCAGAGAAGGTAAATACGTTATGCTGTTAGTTTGGTAGATGAGTTGGTGTTGTTTGATAAGGAAGAGGATTACTTGTGCATGCAGCCATGGGCAGGGTAACAGCTGATCATGTGAGAGACTTATGTTCCCTTCCTCACAGCTCTGGCAGTCTGACTAAGGTTCTGCATCAGGTGATGCAGTAAACTGGTAAACTGGTAAACCAGTAAACTAGTTTGCTTCAGCTTGTGCATAGGGCTGGACTACTTTGTCCTTCTCCTGATGAGGTCATCCGAGTGGTCATTGTGCTCAGCAGGTAGAAGATTAAGTAACTGGCAAAGGCCATATGGAATCTGTGGCAGAGCTGTGAGCAGAGCTGGGGGGATCAGG